CGGGTTGACCCGAACCCGAAGCGGGTCGGGTTCGGGTCCGGAAAATCGACCCGTTTATAAAAACGGGTCGGGGTGACCCGAACCCGAATATTTCCGGGTCAATTCCGGGTTGACCCGAACCCGAAGCGGGTCGGGTTCGGGTCCGGAAAATCGACCCGTTTATAAAAACGGGTCGGGTTGACCCGAACCCGAATATTTCCGGGTCAATTCCGGGTTGACCCGAACCCGACCCGTAACCCGAAATTGACAGGTCTACGGACTGGCGCGCCGTGGGATTTTTCGTTGCCTCTTCACGTTTTCGTCTTCTTGTCTCTCTCCTCTTTCTCTTTCTCTTTCTCTTTCTCTCTCTCTCTTCCTTCCAAACGCATCAGGTACCCTCTGCACCTCTCCACCCCTGTAAACACCAGCGAAACCGAGGGGAAAGGAAAGAAAAGGGTATCGGGCCGGTAGTTTTGCACCGGGAGTGGAGAGTTACCAGAGCATTCATACTCCGTCGAATTAGGGTTTTGCTCTGGGAGCTCTTCTGGTTCCACCATTTTGGTTCGTCGATTGTTGTGGGAGTTTGGATGCTTGGTTGAAGTTTCCGGTCATTCAGCGCCTCATTCCACCGTAGTTTGCATGTATGTCGTTGCCTTTTATGTTACAGCGTTGTGATGGCGTGTTTAGGGATGTGGAGGGTAACTGGGTTAGGGCTTCAATTGTAACTTTCGGTAAACTGTTGCGTTTTAAATATGCCTAAGGAGATTTGGAAGTCGGGTTTTTTTTTTCAGCTTCGATATTTTTCGTTTCGAAGGATCCTGCTGTTTTTGTTTTCTTCGTCAGGTTGGGCTTTTGTGAACTGAAATGCCCTACCATGGGGTCTTAGATCTCCCAGCGGCCGTTTGGGTTGGGTTGAAATTTTCTGCTTGTTTTCTTTGCTAACTCCTGATCCTTTGGTTTGGCCTGTGCAGTGTTTGCTAGTTTTTATGATATTTTTCATTTGTTTTGTCAAATTGCTTACTGTTATTTTTTTCAAACATTCCATGACGTCTACCATTGGGTATATTTATGATGGCTTGGAGTTTTTTTTAGTTTTCTTTACTTGAATTATCTTTCTTCATGGAATGAATGAGATGTTAAGAAGATCTTGATTTTTTGGTTCAATTACTGCAGTTCAAGATGGCACTGCTCAGGTTTTGGAGGTTCCGAATTATTGGGCATGTTGCTTCAACACATTTGTACTATGTTTCTGGCATTGTTTGCTGAGGTTGGATGAAATTGCTCAGGTAAAATGAGCTTTACTGTTTTGTAATGTCTTTATTTTCTTGGCCTTGATGCCTTATGCTTTCTGTTTTTACTCTTGGCTCATTTTCTCCAGATAGCTGAGAGAGTGCCTTATGTTATATGCATGTTGGGCTCTTTCTGGCGGAAGAATCTTTTTTGGAGAAGAATCAAGTCTTTGTTATTTTGCCTTCTGCATTTGCATCTCACTTGAGGTACTACTTCTTATGAGGTCTATTGATTTGTACTGCGTGTTCACTATATTCGAGTTCACTATATTCGAGTTCGTCAGTTTACTAAAAACATTTAAGAAAATTTTACTTTATTTGTTGCAGTTTTTAGTGTGTGTAAGTGTGTAACTTTTGCTTAACCTAATGTTTCTCTTCCATCTCTTGGATTTGTTGTATTCTATTGAGATTGTAGCTTCTGGCCATGTTTTGAATCATTTTTGTGCTCTTTCTCTCTTTTCTTTACTTTTTTTTGGTGAAAACACAAAACTACTAGATAGACTAAGTTTGGCTTGAATCTACCTATTTCCTATTTTCAATGACAAATCAATTTCAGGAAGCACTCATAGATGTGTTTTCGCTTGATTTATCAAATTACTCTTTTTGTAAATCAATCTATGTAGTATTTATTGCCTGTATATGCTATTATTACTCAACAGTATTAACATTATTATAATTTAATTTTTTTTTAATACTAATTGTAAATTTTAGTAAATATAAAATAAGAAGCTATCCATCACAAAAATTAATTTATTTTAATTGCATGTCTAGATAATAAGTTAATCCTACCCTGAATAAATAATATAATTGTTTTGCGCAATGATCAAGTTTTTAATAATATTAATAACGATCAAATGTAATGTATTATCATAGATATAAATATTAAAATTATTGATTTCAAAAACATAATTCAGTTATATAATAATTATATAATTTTAAATGTTATATAAAATAGTTAAAATAATAGAACTCTTTATACTTAATTACTAAAAATGTTTTTGAATATAAATGAAAAAGGATAAATTATAGTAATAACGAAGACTATATAAACTATGAATTGCTAGATTATCTTTTATTCAAAGTGTTGGCCAGAAAACTAAGATTTTATGGTTTGTTACTCCACATTACATAAAATATTATTCTTTTTTTTTAATAACTAACCATGCTTTCATCTTAACATATCAATCATGCTTTAATTTCTTTGAGATATGAAAAAAATAGATAATAATAGAAACACATTTCTTAAATTTTGGTTTTGAAGGCAAGCTTTGTAAGTGTAAGTCTTGAGCATATGTAATCTTATGTTTTCCTTTAAATCTTAAGCCTTTATGAAGATTCAATTATTAATTAGAACTAATAATTAAGTTGTTTTTATAAAATATTAATAAGCAATATATACTCTCAACTGATTGAGAAAATTGAAATGATTTGATGGATTGAAGATTACTGTGTGCTATTTAAGGTGAATACATGAATAGACAATGATGAGTTGAAGGAGATAGTGAATATTAAGATCTTATCATTTGCTAATATTTAAAAGATGAAATGACTAAAATTTTAGAGATACATTTTTAAATCACAAGCCCTTGTGGTTTAATCCCTTAGCTTTTGTAGGTTGAAAAGTTTTTTTTGTTTGCTTTTTTCAAACCATATTGAAAATTGTGCTTTTTGCTGTCTGTTTATAAAAGTTGTATGATGGAATTATTAGTTCTTTATTGCCATTATAGCATCAAATGCTTCCTTATGTGGAAAAAAATGATGTAAAATTGAGTTGATTGGTACCAATGTAGGTGGAGGCGCCCTTGAATGAGAACTTGATTGCAACATATTGCCTTAGAAAGCCAAAATAAGAATATTTTTTTCTTAAATCATTTTATTATTGGTACCAAATTCATATAACATGCCGATTCTTTATTAAATTTGAATATGTTTTTTAAAGTAATACTTTACTCAATTCTCGCTAAGAAATCCACATAAAATATTATTTATTTGTTTCTTGTGCCCTAAGCTTATGTGGATAATGGATATATGGCCCACCCTTATGTGGAAATGTCGCCCCACTCTTTTTGATTGGACCACATAATTTTTTAGCACAAAACAAAAAAAAGGGTTTTTTTTGTGTGGATTTATTTGGGGAGTGAAGCATCACTCAATAAATTTTTATGACTAATATATTCCCCTTGGAGTGTACAAAGAAATTGCTTATTTACCATCTCTCTAGAAGTAGATAAGCTTAGTGAGATTGTGGCCACCCATTGTAAGCCAAGTACAAGAATACAAAACCTTACATTGGCCAGGATGGACAATAAAAAGAATCAAGAGTCATTCCACTGGTCTAATTATAGATGCCTTAATGATTACCAAAACACATCCATGGATGTATAAACATGGTGTTTGTATGCTTGCATTTGTGTTTTTTTGGATGGATTCATGAATTTATCTATATAGTGAAAGTTATGTTATATAGTATTATTATTTTAAAAACATGAATAGCATAATATGCATTTTCTTTGCATCATGTTTAATACATTGTAACATGTATTGCTTCTTTGATATAATAGGAAAACTTCTTAAATTTTCTTATATATATTATGTTATATTTATTATATTATATTATATCAAAAAAATAAATGAAGTTTTCATAAAATTGTCATCAAATAATGTGAAATACGGCTAATGAACCTGATTGTGTTGATGATATATATTGCATAATGAAGATGTGTGTAGAGCTCTCTTGTGACTTGTCCACTTCTTAATGGCTTTTCCAAATAAGTTATTCTGTGCAAATGAAAATGCGAATTACCACTTGCTTTCTGCAGTCATTTCCTCTCCTGCTATCCCAATAGCTCTTTTCTCATTTTCATCTCCACCTATGATAACCAAATAGGCCTTTAATGAAGTTCATGTTTTTACCTTATTTGATCATCATCTGCTTTGATATATATTCTTAGCTCCTTTGATGCATCTTCTTAAAGCATTCTAGTAGAAGAGCAATCAGTTGTACAAAGTGCTTTTCCTTGCTGAGGAGATCACCACTTATTTTTATCTATGGCGCTGCAAGATTTCTTGTAAAAATTCTGGGCAGCTTTTTACGGCCTCTACTGTTCTCCTTATATTTTGTTAGGCAAATAACTGAAAATATAGGTATTATGCTTTTACAGGTGTCTTATTTTACTTGCTACCCCTCAGATTTTGTTGGAGAGAAATGTAGCTTGCAGTATTTCTAGTCCGATGTTATACAATAATTGGATGTCTAACTTTTGTTTCAAGTTTGTTTTTTTAATATATTTTTAAAGTTTAGTCAATGTGGTTGTCTTAGCTTGACCTAAAGAGTTTGCTTGAAGATGGTTGATGTAATCCTCTATGAAGATGATTTCCTTCTTACTCCTTGTTGGTTAGCCATGAGATTGAGAGGTTTTCTCTGTTACCCCTGCCACCCTTCTTTTGGGAGATTCATTAATATATTCTTTTCATTTTCTTTATGGTTTGACATCTACATTATATTCTTCCCATTTCAACAATCATAGCATTAAAGTTCACTTACAACTTTTATAGCTGCTACTGCTTTCTGTGTCATTTCATTTAAGAGCTTGATTATTACACCTGGAACATGCTTTTTTTTCTCTTCGATGATGCATGTATATTTCTATAATGTACCTTTTTACTGTTTCCCACATCTATGTTCTGTCAATCTAGGCTGTTTTTACATTTGTTGCATTATGTAGTTCATATTATGTTTCTGTTTTGTCACATTTTCTGTCACTGCAGATTTTGCTCCTGGTTCAGCGTTTTGCATACCTCTGCACTATTCTCTCTGCATTTTCCCCATATAGCTTGCAATCTGTCTAGCATTTTTGGTATTTGACCGCCATCCAGCTTACCTGAAACTACATGAAAGCCTTCCCACTCTAGCTGATCCTTTCCAAGCTCGATTGAAATTAAATAATTGAAATCCTAATCTCCTCCGCAAAATTCTCTACCTTAGTCTCCATTTGAATTCACGGCCATTACTTAACCCCTCCATTCCGTTAAATTGGTTAATAAACTACAAAATAAAAGAGCAAAATTTTCCTGAAAATTCAACTTAGAAAAATTTAAGCATTCAAAATTGAATAAAACTTAGAAGTTAGTTGCAACTTCTCTTTCCTTGCTTTTGCTCGTCTCTTTTTTAAGTAACCATCATTTTATATCTGCTTCTTTCAGGAATCACCTTATTCTATCCGCCCCTTTCAAGTAGTCATTTCTTGTTTCCCTGTTCACTTTAAAATTTTAAATCCTATCCAATATTAACTATTCTACCAAATCCTATTTTGACCTATTCAAACCTAAGCCAACTCAATTGCGATTAGCACAACCGAACCCAACTTTGTGCTCCAATGAAACAAGGAGGAAAAAAAACTCACTTCTTTTAGAGTTTTACAAAAGTAGAGATATGTGGCTATCACTATGGATGATCTCTAGGCTCACAAAGATATATTTCCAAAGTTGATGATATTATTTATGAAGATTGATGATGATGTCTTCCAAGCTAGATGAATTTCCTATTCATCACTCGCCATATGTGAGTATTGTCAAGACCTCCTTTCATATGCCAATGTCGTTTCAACTCTCTAGGATATTTCTCTTCACAATTCATTGCATTGATGCAGTGCGAAGTCATATTCAATCCTCAGCTATGAGTCATTGCGATTATTAATTTTTCTTGTTCACTTGCCACTTTGTCTTTTATCATATACATAGTCTAAGTGACAATTGATTTTCATGTCATGTTTATGTCATTGTTAATGGTTAGTTTTGTTAGAAGGTTGTCATGGATGTTTCATGAATGTAGAGCAGAAATGTGCTTTCTAAACAGTGACATTTCTGCTTTCTAAACAGTGACAAAAATTAAAACTAATGAGGTTGATAGTGATAATAAGAAAGCTACAAATATTACAGAGTATATGGAGCAAAATGAGAACTATAGCTTTTGATGCTTTTGTAAAATTTGAGATATTTAAAATAATTAAGGCACGAGATAAAAGTTTTGTAGGCTTTGATCAAATTAGATAAATTAGAAGGGATGATTATTGGATCGTACTTATAGATGATGAAATTGAGGAAAGATGGCAATGAGACTTTGAGAAATTATTATATGATGGTTTTAACGTAAAAATTAGTTTGGAGGAGCTTGATGAATAAAATAATTAAGTATATTATAGATTAAA